CCTTCCTTGCCCTAAATTGTTCGAGCGTCTAGGAGCTTCTTGGGCCACTTGGGGGGCCCCTGGGGGGCCCCCAGGGGCCCCCGAGTTCGTTGTATTCATGAGGGTACTACGGTTGCATGTTGGGGTTGTATTTGTTGGTTGTAGATGGAGAGCTGATGGGTCTTGTATAGGGGTTGTATAAGAGGAGTTGGGGGGCCCCCAGGGCCCCGGGGACCCCGCTGAAGGGGGGGAGTCTGGAGGAAGGGGGGCCCCCTGGGCCTCTGATGGGGGGCCCCTGGGTACAGTTATAGAAGAGAGGGGTAGAAGGATTTGTGCATAGCGTTCTGCTTTTTCTCCTGCAGCAGCAGACATAGAGACACGGTAAGAAGGAGGGTAATGTGGGGGGCCCCCCTATAGCTTGGGGCCCTTTTATACAGCAGAAAATGGTACTAATAAGTATAAATGAGTACAAGAAAAAGAAGGGGGGCCCCTGCTGCAGCTAGATCTCTTTCTTACCTGGGCCAAGCTGCTGATTAGGGGGCCCCCTTGGTACCCCCCCCATGGCAGAGGTGACCCTGGGGGGGGGGAAAGAGAGGAAAATATTGATTAAGTTTACTCATTACAATTAAATAAATTAAAACAAATAAAAAATAAAAAGATTAAATACTTTTTATTTACAATTAAGGGGAAGAAAAGCAAGAAAAGATACAAGAAGAATAAGCAGCAGCAGCAGCAGCAGTAGCTGCTACTGCTGCTACTGCTGCTGTTGTTGATCGATACAATGGGGGCCCCATGCATCTTCTGCCTTTATTTATTTCTTTTATTTATTTATTTATTTATTTATTTAATTAATTGATTAATTTATTTATTTATTTATTTATTTATTTATTTATTTATTTAATACAAGAAAAGTATTCATGAGGTCACCTTATAGTGCTAATAAGCAAAGAAGAAGAATAATAATAAATAAATAATAAAATAAATAATAAATAAATAAATTATTTATTTATTTATTAATAAGAATTAATATAAATAAATATAAATAAATATAAATAAATTAATATATTTATTTATTTATTAATAATAATAAATATAAATAAATATAACATACATTGATAGCCATACGCTAATAAGACACCAGCATATGTATATATGTATATAATTATATTTATTTATTTATTTATTTATTTATTTATTTATTTATTTATATTTACATTTATATTTATTATATTAAATAAATAAATAAATAAATAAATAAATATTATTTATATTTATTCTTTTTTTCTCTTTTTTTTTTCCTTTAATTCTCCCTCTGTCTCTATATCTATACTCTATCTATCTATGCTGCTACCGCAGCAACAGCAGCAGCAGCAGCAGCAGCAGCAGCAGCAGCAACAGCAGCAACAGCAACAGCAGCAACAGCTGTTAATAAATTAGACAACTGTATGTTTATAGAGATATTACTAACACACAAAAATAACACAGAAAAGAATAGCAGCAGCAGCAGCAGCAGCAGCAGCAGCAGCAGCAACAGCAGCAACAGCAGTTGCTCGTGCTGCTGCTGCTGCTGCTGCTGCAGCTGCCCCTGCAGCTGCTAAAACTGCTGCATTTGCTGCAGCCGCAGCAGCTAGTGCTGCGGCTGCAGCAGCTGCTGCTTCTGCAACAGCAGCAACGTCTGTGTACTAATAAATCCGCGCTGCAGGAGGGAAGGAATTTGCTGCTGCTGCTGCTGCAACAACAGCAACAAGAGCAGCAGCAGCAGCTGCTGCTGCTGCAGCAACTGTAAACTGGTCAAGAAAATCCCTTTTATTCTTCAAACAGCCGAAGCAGCAGCAGCAGCAGCAGCAGCAGCAGCAAAAGTAGCAGCAGCAGCAGCAAAAGCAGCAACAGCAAAGCTGCTGCTGCTGCTTGATACACTACTGCGACAAAGAGGGGGGCCCACAAAAAAAGCAGCAGCAGCAGCAGCAGCAGCAGCAGCAGCAGCAGCAGCAGCAGCAACAGCAGCAGCAGGTCTTGCTGTTGTTGCTGCTGCTACTACTAAAGCTGCAGCTGTTGCTGCAGTTGTTGCTGCAGCTGTTGCTGCAGCTGTTGCTGCAGCTGTTGCTGCAGCTGTTGCTGCAGTTGTTGCTGCTTGACCAGCTAGTGTTGCTGTTGCTGCTGTATCAGTTCCTGCGTTGCTGCTGCTGCTGCTGCTGCTGCGGCTGCTGCTGCTGGTGCAGCTGTAGCCGCAGCTGCTGCATTGCTGCTGCAGCTGTAACCGCAGCTGCTGCGTTGCTGCTGTTGGTGCAGCAGCCAGATTTGCTGCATTATTCCTATTATTATTAATATAAATAAATAAATAAATAAATAAATAAATAAATAAATAAATAAATAAATAAATAAATAAATTAATCCTTAGATAATTTAATAACTGCATGCATAGTAAGTACTGAAGCAACTAATCTTAATAAAGATTTTATTGTATTTGTTTGTGCATTAGAGGGGAATAAACAAATAATAAATACAATTAAATAACATAATA